CAGACCTAATTCACCTGAACCCTATTCGATCGGTGCAGGTTCAGGAAACTAACTGCCAACATTTTGGGTTCAGGCTCCATAATTTGGAATTAAGGCATCATCAATGTAATATCCCTAATTTTCTTAGTGATAATAAGTCTAAGTTGTTATTTGTCTAAATAGATATTCAACTATAGTAATTTATAAATGACTTTGTAAGAGGACCTTTACGCAAATAAATAATAATAATAATAATAATTACTTTAGTAACATATTTATATTTGGTAAGGAGCTTACTGCAAAAGAAAATTTGATGAGGGATTTGATGGAAATATTAGCACATATATATAAAGGGGGGAATTGTTGAAGTAAACCCTAACCTTGTAAAAAAAAATGGCCGCTGCCGGAGAAGCTACGGCTTTCCATCGGAAAAAAAAAAATGTGATCCTAGATTACTAAAAGCCAAAAATATATTTTGTTAGAATCTTTTGGATTCCTAAGAGAAGGCATTAGTTTCGGCTTTGCTTTCAGCTTCATGATGTTCTCGACATCTTGATATCTATATCTGGAGATCATGGTGATCTTTTGATCTCAATAAGGTAAGGTATTTCTAAGTTATTAAATTTACTTTATACTGATGTTTTTTTGTTAGCCATGACTTCATGTAGACTAGTTTAAAATTTCATAGAACTCAAGTGGTAGATTTATTCTTAGGACTGAATAGATAAGATGCTAAACTAAAAATATTAAAAAATACATAATTTGATACGGAGCCTAGTACTGTTTTGGTATATGAATTAGTATGTCAGTAGCATATTATATATTGATGAGTTTCCATATTTATTCTTTAGGTATCCCTAGAGGTTTCAAGGAAGTGGCTTGAGTCGCGCTTCATCTAACTTTAGATCTATGTAAGTGGTAAATTTATGCATTGTGCATTGCGTATTTTTCCTACCAAATGATAGTAAGTATATGTGGATTTGTTTCCTGATGAATTATATTCTTCGTATGATTTACTGGTATATCATTTGTTGACTAGTTTGATTTTGTGATGCTCATGGATATTTGGTATAAGCTTATGCTTATTGTCTTTGTCAATTGTTATGTCTTTTCATATAGTAGTAGGTTGAGATGCATATGGGGTTGATTGATTTCACTATTGGTTGGCCTTTGGTATTTTTGTATAACGTATTTAGTTTTACGGACTTCGTTTAATTTTCTTAAAGCATATGCATCTCAAGTCAATATACCGGTATATGTCGGATATAAGCAAGCTATTAAAACAGGACTCAATGTGCCTCTATGAGGTTTTATTTTAGCGCTAAGAGCCCAAATTGGGTCTCACCGTCCCGGAACAACGGGCTTAATAATTGTGGGGTTTACCAAGTCAACCGGAGTATGAAGTGTTGACCGCATTGAGACGTAGCATGCTTATTTCTATTCCATGATTTCCATTTTTTCTTAAATATTTGTATCAAATACTAGAGTTCATTAATGATTCTATATCATTCTTATATTTTGTTTATTTCTCGTTGTAATATTTTAGTTTTGCAAAACCAGTGTTTAATGTATGAATTTATCCACTTATTGAGTTGTGAACTCATTGTGTTATTTCTATTCTTTTCAGAGACTCGGGATTAGGTGGAATTGAGGATTTGCCAAATTCTTAGAACGAAGGAAAGAATAATTCGAGATTGTTATTGTCTTCTAGGCAAAGGTTAAATAAAGTCTCTAATGTTTAGTTGATGATTTGAGAGTTTGTAATAATGAAATTCTTTCTTTAGGTTGAGATTTATTTGGAGTTAAGGAATATTTATTTTTATCAAGTTAATTGGCTTAGTTTGACTTTAGGGATTATAGAGAATATTTGTTGTTGGTTTTAGTTCAATGAAGAGATTTGTTTTAGTGTTCTTTTGATGAATATATATTTTTGGAGGATTCTTCACAGGTTTAGTACGGCTCCAATATTCCTTTTAGGTTCGGAAATTGGGGTCGTGACAATCAAAGTATAAGGCACGACCTCCGTATGTTTTCAACTTTTTCAGTCTCATCTTCAAGTTCTTTCTCTCTGAACCAGACATGTTTCGTGCAGAAAAACTCGAATAGGGACATTGAAAATATTGTTGATTGCAGATGAACAATCACTGTTCGTGGTTTTTCTTCGGCTTCTTCCCGTTGGAGCACTCTGCAACCACTGTTTGCGTCGTAGGGTAAAAAAAAATGAAAAGCCTTTGCATTTAAGCCATGAAACTATTTTCATTACCCCGCCACGACATTATACGCTACTTGCAGAGACAACACTAGCATTACTATGGTTCTCTAATAATATCAAACTAGTTTGCGGTCCGTGCAAAGCACGGTATTTTTTTTTGCTACAATAATCCCGCTTTTTTAATATGGCATGTTTTGAATTTTTTGAAGTGCTACAGTACCCCCGCTCTGCTACAGTATCTTTGAAATGTTACAGTGTACCCGTTTAGCTGCAGTAATAATGCTACAGTAAATGTTACTGTAGCATTTACTGGAGCATGAACAGTGAATCTCTGATCCTCCTATTTGTATAAAGGAATAGACTAGTGTGCACCCCGTGCAAAGCACGGCTCGCTATTTTTTTAAGTATTGCATTTTGAACTTACTTTTCTCTAAGTTTTAAAATATTTAATTTGATTATTGTATGCTTAAAATTAGAAATCATATATCTACTGCTCTATACTTAAAAAGCAGGATCCAAATTTTAAATTTAATTTAGAAACCATATCTACTTCTTTATATTTAGAGGACGATCCAAATTTTAATTTACTGTAGCATTGGATATCCTAATAAATAGCTTTAAGATGCCTTCTAAACTAAAATTGACAAAAAAATGTAATCATCCTAACATCGACTGCAAGTTGCATGATTAGAAATATGTAACGATTGAAAAAAAGAGAAATGTATATTACCATTAAGAGGTCAGTAAGAAAAAGGTTTGACCTGATAGTGATCACAATACTTGAGCAAGTAGTCGTTGAAGATGAAATTCGTGTTTCAATTTTGCTAACACGGCATGATAATCCAATTTTGATAAGAAACAATGTTCGAGGTCTTGATGAAAATTCATGGAGATTTAACTCAATAGAAAAAGAGCTTGTGCTTTAGTTAGGTCCTATTTATTTCATCTCATGTCAAAAATATAACTATAAAAGCTCATATTCTAGTCATGAAATCATATAAAGGGTGCTATGCCAGAATCTCAATGTAAACAAAACCAAAAATTAGATTTAGCTTGTATGAATGGTAGTTATATAATATAATTATATTTGCTTGACATTATTCAAACATTTTTTCATGCCGCATATAGACAATGACAAAGCTGAATAAGTAAACAGACACTATATTGAAAAATAGCTTAAGAAAAATTCTATGACTAAATACCTGAGTAAGTTCTCTGCATCAGTCAATTCATTAGTTGTAGCTAATAACTTCCGAGATGACATCTCCGGTCCAACTACCCTGAAGGGGAAATTATTTTTTAGCAAATCATCTAATGAGTAATGACATCTCCAGAAATCTAAAGCTGAGATAAAATTTTAAGAATAAAACCACAATCAGATTGCTATAACTACTGATAGTGCCATCAATTCATTATATTCAAGAGATATAGGGTGCAAAGTATAAGAAAGCAACATTTAGTCAAATAGAGATCCATACAGAGTGATAGCAGTAATTCAACAACTTAGTGAAAAATTCAGAAAATAACGTAAAATGAGATGATGGTCACCTTCTTCTAGGAGGAGTTGCAGACTCATTCGTAGGGAGTGATTCCAGCACTCATGCAACATCAGCGTCAACTTCATTCTGCACGTGCTCTCCCTCAGATTTTGAGGATTGCTCTCTAATTGGTGAACTGGAATTGGGCAAATGCTCATCTCTTGCTTTCAGATGTGAGCATAATATTTGCCCAATAATGTCCAAGGTACAATGACCAAGTTCAGGCAGCAGAAAGACCCCACTTTCATTTCGCTTAAGCTTCAACGAAATGAAAAGCTTCTTCAATTGTATATGAAGGAATTTGAAGGCAAAGTCATCTCACCATAGTTATATGATGTTTAAACAAATGTTGATACTCATGCCTTAATTGTAACTGGGATTTTATTAGATTTGACTATTTTGTACATGATATTTACAATTTTGTACACGAAGGCAATAGACGGACAACACTATAAACTGCAACAAATCTATCATGTAAATACTTTCAACACAGCAAGAGTTAACTATTCTCTAGTTAAAAGTTAAATACTTCGACTATTAGAAACCCTATCGTTTGAAGGTAGAATCCCAAGATCGCCCAATTGAATGTCCAGCTGCAAGTTATAGATAATTATAAGATTTATTTATTCCAAATAAACATGTTAATTGAGTTATAACAAAATAGTCTGGAAAAAAGTGGATTAAGCTTTAATTGATAAGGCTGCACATACTAACAATTCATAAAACTTGTAAACTCTTCAATAGATATTCTCTCTTGTAATGCATTTTTTTCTAACAGGAAAACTCGATGGATAGAAACTCATCGATCCCCCTCAAGCGAGACGTCTTAGACCCCTTTCTTGAATTATACATATGCCTAATGTCCTTCAGGCAAGATGTATTCAAGTTGAAGTTGGGAGTCTGAGAAGCAGCGTAATACCAATTGCAAAAGCTAATGGAGGTATAGGAATTAGCGGTTTTGTGGGGAAGCTTGAAGACGGCTTTGGTACAACCCGCTACAGAATAATACCAGGCCCTGGCCCCTTCATACAAGTTGGCTATAACTGAGAGCTGAGGACGAGGGTTCCCGACATACAACTGATCATACCCAAATTGGCGAGCAAACCTATAGGGTTGGTAAGGCTCGACGAAACAGTTGACGCCTTGCCGAAAGATCAGATAACCTGGCCTGATGGATAGAAGCCAGTGGAAAACACCCCCACTCAGCTGAGTGAATCCATTAGGACCTGTCGTATCCTGATATTCTGCTCCATAGACACCGCCCTCGAAATCAGGGAAACAGCGGTAGATATGGAAATTGGAATCCCGCGTTAAGATTTGGCGGATCCTAACCATGTACCCCCCTTCCCATTTCGCAGACTCTAGTCGCTGCACAAATGGGATGAATGAGTCTCCCGGGGGAGAAGCTGCACTCATTATAGGAGGACAGTGGAGCACGTACCAAGCCATCAAATATGTATATGGCATTGGCACCCTGGGATTGGGAGTTTTGAAAGTCTTGTGACCCTCAGACTCCACCTCTGTAACACCAACAAAGTCAGAGGCCAACTCCCGCAGTCCATACTGCAGACAGCCCACCATAGCACTGAGGAGGCTCACAGGTCTCCCGTGCGCCAAAAGGACAGCTGGGTAGACCACCTCAACGGCAAGGGCATCGACCGGCCTAGTAGGGACGACGCAGCGTTTGAGCCACAACATTAAAAATCCGGCTAGCAACGCTGTGTCGGAAATCGGAATCAGAGCTTGATAATGGAAGCTCTCGAACTCCGTATGAGCCGGGAAAACATCCTCTTTGGCCTCATTGGTGTAGTGAGAGGTAGCGTCGTCGATTCGAGCCTGAACCTCCTCCAAAGTACTGGCAGGCAAGCGGGTCACTGAAGCTCCTTTAGTGGTCAAGTTATGGAATAAATATTCCGCCCAAGACACTTGCTTAATACCACCTCCACGTGCCCCCGTCAGCTGCATGCAAATGTGGAAGTGACACATGACTTCCCAGAGAGTGGCATAAATTTCCGGACTGGTCTTCTTTAAAATCTGGAGTTCCGCCGAGCCCGGAACGAACTCTTCATACGGCAAATCCCCGAGAATAAGACCCGAGACTTCGTGCATCTCGTGAAGGGCGAAGCCTAGCTCCCCCACAGGGGTGAAGAAAGTGCAACTATCAGGATTATACTTCTCCAGTATGGAGAAGAAATGAAAGTGGCTCTGGATAATCCCAAACTCAGTAGCCCGCACAGGAACTAGCAATCCAGCTTGGGCAAGAGGAGTTTCCAATTCTTTCAGAACAAACTTGGTCATCTGGGCCCACCATCCCGCCGCCGGAGAATGAACCCAACCAGGAGTTCTAAATCCTTGCGCGGGAAACTCTCCTTTCTTTTCCAGGAATCTCTTAACGAAGGTCTTTCTGGGCCCACCATCCCGCCACCGGAGAATGAACCCAACCAGGAGTTCTAAATCCTTGCGCGGGAAACTCTCCTTTCTTTTCCAGGAATCTCTTAACGAAGGTCTTTGCCGGACTGGGTGCTTCGCCAAGGGGATACTCCTTAGCAAATAAACTCGGCCGTAAAGCTGTCACCTGCCGATTATAACCAACGGTGCGGACCCCATAGAAAGTCAGAGTTCCGAGAGCAACCCCATCTTGATCCTTAACCAGGGGCCAATCCATACGCCTCGGGACGGAAGCGCATTGGAAATAAGATAGGGGGAACATCCTCTCCATGTTGGGCAAGAAAAGGTTGCGTTCCTCAACTCTCCGCAGCCACTTATAGCCCCCATCATAAGCAGTGCTTGCGTTGAAGTCAACAAAGTCCCCGAAGAGATATCCAGGTTTGGTTATGGGCTTACGGCTTGGGCTTTCAAGTCGAGCGTCCGAAACCAACGTCCTGAGAGTGTCATGAGAAGCTTGGGTGATCAGTTCCACGCGACTCTTCTCCCTCATCCGGAAAACCGGGAGTTCTAAACGCGAGCTGAAAGTTATGTTCATGTCTGCACCACCTTCATGTCCAAAGTGGTGGCGAAAAAGAAGAGGCTCACTGGTAT